GGGAAGGCTTACCTTCCGCAGCGTTCCTCCCCTCCTGCACCATGGCCGCAGCTCGGGCACGGCTGAACAGCAGCTGCTGCTGTCCTCCTTCCTGGAAGCAGACTGGGAAGTGGCACCAGTGCGGCCTGCAAGGAGGAATGCTAACAGGCCAGCCAGGTTACTGTCGTCGTGTTCACAGGAGAGTGGTTGCCAGGAAGAAGTACTGAATCTCTTTCATGTGAACGTTTAACTGAAGTCGTGCGTCTGCGTTTACATGTGTGGGGTTTTGTGTTTGTTGGGTTGGCTTGTTTGTTTGTTTTTTCTTGAAAGCCAGCAAACTTTAAGAGCCTTACTACAAAGTCTCAGGAGGTACCTTGGGCTGTAAGAATTACTGTCATGAAATAGAGATGCGCTTCCCTTCAGTGTTTCCCAAAGTGCATGTACTGAAATGGATGGTAGATTCAGCTTGTGCTGAAAAGTACGGAATGACTTTATATTCTCCCCCTAATAAAAGCACATTTCTTAAATCGTGATACCCAACCCCTGTGAGTAATGAAGGAAAGGAAATGATGAAATACAGCATTATAATGTCAGGTGGAAGCAGGGAACATCTGCCAACTGTTGGTTTAGAAACAGCACTGTCAGCCTGTGAGGTGGCTAAAGATCACCTAAAAGTGAAATTAATTGGATTCCAAAGCCTTGGAAACTAGACAGTTTCTTAGCGCCTTAACTGGGTGTTTTACCAGTGCTTTAATCTGTATTTTTGGTACTGAATTAGATCTTGGTGCTTTTTACTGTTATTCAGGGAGGAACACAGAACCCTGACAACTAGACTCTTAGCTTATTATTTTTAATGTTGTTTGAAATGTGTCTCTGTTTTTAAGCTTCTAATGGATGTCTTCTGGGTAGATAGTCTAAATATTTTTAGGTGCTGTACTACAGAAAAATGGAGCATATTAATTCTTCATAGAACAAAATACTGACAGTGTGAAAAAGCACAAAATGTTTAAGGAGAAAACACGGGGCTGTTCTTTCCAAATGATTCCTCTCATAGTTTATTCAGCTACCGTTCTAAGAGCGTCATTATAGTTCATTCACTTTGAATGACCATTTGTGGCATTAATGAGGTCTGAATCACGGGGAGAGATGGGGAGTACGGTATTTGGCAGATCCTTGCAGGCTGTATGAGATCTAATGGAAGTACAAAGTTTTGATGAGCTGAAGAATAAGTATTTTGGAGTGCTTTTAGAATTCATTGCTAAAATACAGTGTGAAAAGTTGCACTTCTGAGTATTTCAAGAAAAGATGAGCATTTTGAATATATTAGCTTAATTTCTAAAGTATAGAAACTCTTAAAATGCAAAGTTAGTATGTTTTGTGGAGTCAGGAGGAAAATGGTAACTTTGATGTAGAATTAGTTTGGCTTGTGTAAGTCCTTGTCCTTTAAAGACAGGGAAAAGGAGTTCATTCCAAGAACCCTTGTGAGAAGCTTTACTAAATAAACCTCCTATTTCTGCTTTCAGTCAGCAGATAAGCAGCGAGCCCTGGAAGAAACCAAAGCCTACACAACCCAGTCATTAGCAAGCGTAGCCTATCTGATCAACACTTTGGCCAACAATGTTCTCCAAATGTTGGACATCCAGGCATCCCAGCTTCGACGCATGGAATCTTCAATCAACCATATTTCACAAGTGAGACTTTTTTCCTATTTTCTTTCCTCTTAGTTCTTGAAATGACATAGCAAGTAAAGCTCTCACCTGACATTTTTTGAATGAGAAAATTAGTTGCTTTTAAAACAAAAGGATGCATTTCTTCTCATTAATTATGGGAATGGTTCTCATTATGTGATTGTGTGTCTGTGTTATTATGAGCATTTTACATAGGATAAGAGATTAAATGTGTTCTTGGCCAGTATTGGGTCCATTCTGCATAAGTGAAAGCACAGAAAAATCACTAATGGAAAAATCAGAATATTATGTTAAGGGACAGATTCAGTTTTTCAACTTCGATTTGGTGACTTAATGTACTTGGTATTTATTGGCTACAGGCACTTAAAATTAAAAGAAAGAAATATGAAATGGATGCTGGAAAACAATACTTGTCATCCTGTTGCTGTCATACTGGCATCTAATGACAAAAGCATAGATGACAACTATAGTTTGCTCCTGGCTTTTCTTAATAAAATGTGCTTTGCAGTGACATGAACAGAAGGTGAAATTAATGTTTCCAGTTTGTGATGGCTGCAGAATTCCTGCCATTGTTTGCAGTTTTTCAGAGCAGCAATAAACTCAGTGACTATTCTCAGGCACCCATGTCCCATCACCTCAGTGATGAGAGAATTCTGGCTGCCAGAATGGGCTGAGGATGGATGGTAGATTTATTGGAGGTTTACATGCCAGTGATGGATTAAGATAAATTAAGAGCAATGATACAGCGCTTTCCATTTTTCTGTTACTGGAGAGTTGGTTGGCACCCTTCCTGAATATTTTGTGTCTTATGTGACCAGTGCATTTTGGCCGCTAGGGTTTCTTGATCTCTGTGTGATAAATTAAAATAAAGAATGTTGCAGTATTTAGAAAGACATTTGAAATTAGGGGCTGGGTAAGGTAGGAAATAAGCAGGTGGAACTGACCTGCACTTGCTGGTGCTGAAAGGGTTGCTAAGCTAGTAGAACTTGGAACCAGCAAAAGCAGTGAATAATTTTCTGCTGGCTGACTGGGCTCCCTGAGGTGTCAGGTGAATTCCAAAGCAGGTGCCAGAGGAAGGGGTGGGAAGGATTTTCCCTTCTGGTAGTAATGTACGCTCTTAGATTGCCTCAGTTATCTCATGCAACTGCACCCTCAGTAGTAAGCTGAGAAGTTTGATTTCCTCTGCTACATGCTGCTTCTTAATCCATGGACAAGTCAATTCACCTTTTTGCCCACAAAATGTCACAAATTACTCTGTGTTTGTGTGCATGAGTATGTGCTACAGACATGCTGTGTGGGTATGCCCCCACGGGTGTATGTACGTGTGAGTATGTATGTGCTTGACAGGCTAGTGCCAGCTCACAAGTACTGCAGCTATTTGAGACTGATGCAAAAGACCGTATGAATAAAAATATTCAGAGTTCACTGGATTTGGCATTTTATAGATGTGGAAAGTTCATTTTGTCGCACCGTTTCTGTAAAGTAGTTTTTGGGGAAAGGGCCATATCGTTTTAAGTTTTTTCCTTTAGAGAAGCTGAGATTTATGCAGACTGAGACGCCAGGTTAGGTTGTCTTTGGCATTTATACAAAAAGGGTAGTTACTTAAAAGGGAGCACTAAATTACCGGTGCACAACACCTAATGAAGATGTGTCTGCCAAAATTCACAGTCTGCCCTTGAACAACCAGTAGAAGTTAAAAATTCTTGTAAATATTGCTGTAAAATTGAAAGTTGATTTTGGCTTCGTTGGTGGTGGTGTTTGTGTGGGTGGTGGGTTTTTTTGTTTGTTTGTTTTTTGTTTTGGTTTTTTTGTGGGGTTTTTTGGGTGGGGGTGTTCTGCATCATCCATATCCAGGATGCTCCCTAAATCTTCATGGAAGAAATTATAATATCAGAGGAGCAGACAGTGTTTCAGTTTTGGATATTACATATAAGGAACTATTAAGTCGAATTCAGTATGTTCAGAAATGGCTTCAGTCCAGTATACAACTTGATACCAGTGTTGTAGCTGGTTATATTATCTGTCTTAATTTCAGTGGTTATTTTTCTTCTAAATATGAATTTATTTTGTCACAGTTTCAGTGTAATAATTTCAGGAAATTGGATTATATGTCTCCTAGAACAAGCTTAACCTGCAGAAGGCATCCTCGGTGTTTTTTATGCTAGGTATAAAGTTTAGTGGACTGTTTCTAGTACCACTTAACGTGCCTCATGGTATAACACCTCATTGCCAAATTATGCTCAGTCTCACTTGAAATGATGTCAGTAACGCAGAACAGAAAACAGTCTGGGAATTACCATCTGTTCGCAGCGCGTTACTGCATTAATGCTTTGGTCAGTCAGTGTTGGTGTTTAAGTTCAGAAAACACTAACGTGAATTACAATATCTGGATGTGTAATCCTGCTTTTTAATTCTGATTTGGAGTTCCACATATTCTCCAAAGAAGGGAGCAAATTCATTTGGCTCTTAGTAAGAAAACTTTCTCAAAACTGCTTGTTTCGTTCAAGTGTAGCTCAAACTGGAAGAGATGTAATTAAATTTAGAAGATAAAATATTCTAGTTCCCTGTCCATTGATAGAATGCCAATTTATATCAGTTTCTCTGTTTCCTTATAAATGCCAACTTAATCAAAGAGCTGAAAAGGAAGCTGATAATAATTGGTGCTTTTTCAGATGATATATAGGCTCTGAATAAAGAAATCGTTACTACTGAAACTATTTTTATGCAAGTGGTTAATTACCCTTTGTTTAAAATTTAGCATTACTTGGATTTAATCTGAAAGCTGATGAATCTATTCTTATTTTCCTTCTTGAACCCTGTCCAGAACTAGAGGATATTCAGTGTTTCATATTTGGCTAAAAATTTAAATCTTACATACAGATCTGTATAAATATTTATACTTGTTAAAAAATTGTGTTAAAGTTTTAAAGTTAGCAGATACTGTGTTGATAATGTCCAAATTCTTTAAATTAATCTGGCAGATTTTCAAGTTTTTAATATTTGTACGATGACAAACATCTTCCCATGTTTAGTTAAAGAATACTCTTAGCTAGCAAGGTCATCTATAAAACTCTTCTCTGCTGTTAATTACATAAACAAGCAGCTATCAGAGAGGAGTGATAGTGATGAGTTCTCTCCAACAGCACTGCATGGTGGAGAAATCGGCTTCGCTCTCTTCTTACAGAACCTGCCCCCCGTGATACTGGCCGTAAGGACAGGTACTAAATAGACGTCGGACTTGAACTTGGCTGCAGTCAGCATGTGTTGCTCAGCTGAGCTGCAGCAGCGTGTGTGAGCTGGCTGGTCTCTGCAGGGAAGTTCATTTGGGCCGCCCTTTGCTAAGGCAGCAAAAGCTTGTGACCATTTTCGGTTTTCTTACTCTTGGAAGTTACAACAATAGCCAAACTCTTTCAAAAATGGTAATGCAAGTCAAATTTTCCACAGTATGTATTACCCGTTCATGGAGCAAGTAGCTTTTCAGCATTTTTGATCATTATGACCTCTGTGTATAAATGACATACAACTTGAGGCAATTAATGTCACGTTTCTAACATGTCAAAATTAGACAGTTACTCATTTTAAAGTAATAATCCAGTTTTCATGGTAGTTTGCAAGTAGTTTGTTTAAATTCTGACAGATTAGATTGAAAAAAAATAAAAGCCCAGCAACACCATATTTGAGCAACATTTTCTTCTAAAATATTTTTAGGAAGAATTTTAACAGCCTGTGATAATGGTCTGACAATAAATTGATGAACTTAAATGAAGGCTTCTGGAGAAGTTTATTTCTGAAATTTCACTATGGTTCAGACTTCCAGGGTGGTTTTGTGGGTTAACCCCAGCTGGCAACTAAGCACCACACAGCTGCTTGCTCTGTCTCTGGCCCAGTGGGATGGGAGAAGACTCATGGGTGGAGATAAAAACAGTTTAGTAATTGAAGTAATAATCCTACCAATAATAGTGATGGTAATGAAAAGGAAAATTACAGAGAGAGAAATAAAATCCAGCAAAAAGAAGTGATGCAAATGAAAACAATTGTTCACAATCACCTGACCGGTGCCCAGCCAGCCCCTGAGCAGTGGCCCCTGTGCCATCCTCCCCCCAGCTTTATCTGCTGCACATGATGTCATGTGGTCTGGGACATCCCTTTGGTCAGTTGGGGTCAGCTGTCCCAGCTGTGTCCCCTCCCAGCTTGCTGTGACCCCCCTCCAGCCTGTGTGCACGTGGGGTGGGGTGAGCAGGAGAAATGGCTTTGACTCTGTGTGAGCACTGCTCAGCAAGAGCAAACACATCCCTGTGTTATCAACACTGTTCCCAGCACAAATCCAAACACAGCCCTATAACAGCTGCTGTGAGAAAATGAACTTGCTCCCAGCCAAAACCAGCACAGGTGGCTCTGCGAAATTTCACTTACAGGTGAGATAATATTTCTCAAAACTCCGAGTTCAGTGACTTTTAAGTGAAGTTGTTAAATAGTGTTAACTTTGGAGTCCCAGAAATGATTTATTATTTTGTTCTATTTTAATCTTTACAAATCTTGTGGCTGTTTTCATTGAATTTATTACGGAAACACTATGTTTCATAATTGCCAGAAAATTCCTAATAGGACAAAAAATGCAGTGTTACAAATGTGAAGTTATAGAAGGGCACAGTGTATCCCATCTCTTTTCCTGACAGACTTTCCAAGCCAGGTGTTTCATTAGTCCAGGTCTAACCCAAAAACTTCTTAACAGAAGTTTCTAAGCTGATGAATAAACTGTGCTAGCATTCTCCTGTCTCACTTCAGGGATTTGTGCTAGTACTGGAGGCAGTAATCACCTGTGTTGAGGATAAATGTTTTCATTTTCTTTAGTAGCAGGTTAATTTTTTTTTCCTACTAATCAAATGCCTCCCTGTTCTATTTTGCTGTTTTATACGTGTCTTAAGATCTTATGACTCCCGTAGTCTACTAAGCAAGAAAATGAAATTGTTGAAAAACCTGCCAGCAAAATGCTTTGCAATACAATTTTAGGAGTGTGTACCAGAATTAAGTGCCATTTTCATACTCTTAGTCGTTCCATAGCTGTTTGAGGTAAAAGAGATGTTCTCAATCATCATGCAAGAGAATTCCCATTAGATGAGCTTCAGGTTTTAATTAGGTTTTATGCCTCTCGATGTTTGTTACTGTAGTCATGCCTCACTGATCACCATAGTCCTTAAGGAAGCTGGTTGTACTCACAACTCCTGTGAATAATTAAAACCCCACGGTTTTCATTCATGGAAACGGGTTTACATGGTGCCAAGATACCATTGCTACAGTAATGTGCATTAAACGTGCTCACATTGCACTTAGAGGTAATGGCATAGGAAAATACTCAAAGAACATCTGTAGAGTTGCAGAGGTCGGGCACTTGAAATGCAGAGAAAGGAAGAAATCATCTTGTCAACACTGCACTACTTTCCTTCTGATTTGTAGATCCAAAGGAAGGCTCAGAGCATAGTGTCCAGTGCATAAACTAGTTTTGAATGACCAGGCTCAGACCCATAAGATTTTGATGTTTCAAACCCCGTCTAGCACGGGAAGTGCAGCTGCTGGTTTGAACCTTCTGGCAGATGGTATCAGGGGCCTGTGAGACAAAGGACGTGCAGGAGTCCATGTAATGGTTCTGCGGTTCTCTAGTGGCATGTCTAGGTCACAGATGAAGCCTGAGATAACCGCAGAGGTGGGATTCTTCAGTGGTATTGAACATGACCCTGCCCTCCCGCTTGTTGCGATCCCGTACTGCTAGCTTGCCCAGAAGGTACGAGCTTCCTAACGCCTCAGCAGGTGGGGTGAGGGTTCTGTAGTCGTTCTCTCTGGTATGACTGCTACTTGACCCAGAATTTCTCCTTACGCTGTGCTGCAAAAGCAAAGGTTTGGCATAGGGAAGAGAGAAAATCCTGTGATAGAAGATAGAATACTGAATCTCACCCTGATGCAGAATGGTGCCGTTTTGGTACTCTGGCCTGGAACAGGTTGATGTGCTTCTACAGTCAATGATACCCTACGAGCTGTGAAGATCTGACCTGCGCTGTTGTGGTGGGGGACGATACATGGACCTGGTCATCACTGGGACCTTCAGGAAGGGCTTTAGCAAACTGGTTGGAGAGTGGTTTAGTTGATAAGTCGTCATGGAAATACATGTGTTTCTGTTAAGCTTGTGTGAGCCGTGAGTTTCTGCAGAGTTGATGTATTGGCCAAACTGGGGTGGGGTTTTTGTGAGGGCGATCGAGGATGTGTCCCAGATAATTTAACTATCCCTATTAAGTTTCAGACCATTGCTCAACGAGCTCAGGCTTTCCAAAGAGACGGTTGCCAACATATTTTGACCTTGAATAATCTGTTTTTCTGTAGTTTTGTTCTAAGAAATCGATGTGCAGCTTTAGTAGAGACTTTACAGTTCTAGGCAGGCGGTACTAGAGGTGGAAGAAATGAATGTGACAGAGCTGTATTCAGTGCTTAATTTTAGCAAAGTCGCAATATCTTGAAAGTATGTTGCTGGGAAATACTAGGTAATCTTGGTAGATAGTAATTTAAGCTTCCATATGATGTCCTGGGTATCTGTGGAAATCCTTTCTGGAAAGAATATGAAGAAACAACTTTTTGCAAGGGTGGTTGGTTTTTCTATTATTATTATGGTGGTTTTAAAGGTCGTGATGATTGCACAAGGTAACACAGGGTCCATTTTGCTTGTTTTGCTATCAGTAGCACAAACAAAAGGAAAACCCAGTGTAATCAACCCCACTGCCCCAATCCCTGCCCACAGAAAAAGAAAATTAAAACGTGTTAGGAAAGTGAGTTTTCATACGTACCTGTTCGTTAGCCACTACAGAGCCTGTCTCCTGACTGTGAAGTGTATTTCTGGTGCCATTCAGGACCACTAAAGTGGAAACAAGAAATCCTGTGAATGTTTAGAAATCCTAACGGTGGTGATTCTGTCAGTTTTCTTAAATTTTTTTTTTTCTTTAGTTAAAATGTTTGTTCACAACTCTGGCAAATTTCCTGTAAGGAAAGCTGTTTTGTGAGCAAGGGATTATTTTGTTTTTAAACGATGCAAGCGACTCTGCACCATGTTTTATGAGATTTGTTTTCCTGTAAGGGATAGACAGTTACTGTTTGGTAATTTTTTCATAGTCTTGTACTTAAACTGTGTTTGGAAAATGTTGTTAGGCAATGCGTTTCCAGCAGGGCTTTGTCTTACACTGTAGGGATTTTCAGCGTTGTCCTTAGGTACTCTAAGTGAAGGCACTGGGCTTAATCACTGGCTTCACTGTGGATAAATTAGTACTGCGCACCTTCTGAAATCCCACCATTGCTTTGTGATGAGAGGTTTGTAATGACTCAAATACCTTGTCAATTTGTCTGAGTGAAATTTTATTCTGTCCTGTGACTACCAGTCCTAGTTTGGCGAGCTGTTTTACAGTGTACGGTTTGTTTTCAGGTCATAAAAAGTTAAGGTTTGGGACGGTATCCTTACACTTACTCTAGTTGGAGACTATTTCTAAGATGAGCTTAGAGAGCAACTGTGAAATTAAAAAGGGTAATTGAAGGGAATGTATAAAAAAGCGCCAGTAAATTAATGGGAACTACCGAGGATGGAAAGGAGAAGGAATTTTGCTGAACTGTAAAGAATGAGAGTAACAGAAAACCCAAAGAACCCCTAGCTGCTAGTGTGGGTTTAGAGGTGGGAAGTTCAACAGTAAATTGAAGAATGATGATGTCATCAGGTCTGTGTAGTGATGTTTAGCACAGTATGCAGAGATCTTCGAAACGTTGGAACTGATTCAATTTTTTTATACTGACTCTGTCTTCAAATGCATACCACTGTTAGTAAATACACTGCGTCTTTTGTAGACGGTGGACATTCACAAAGAGAAAGTTGCTAGAAGAGAAATTGGTATCTTGACTACAAACAAAAACACCTCAAGAACTCACAAAATCATTGCACCAGCTAACTTGGAGCGACCAGTTCGCTACATCAGGAAACCTATTGATTATACAATTCTAGATGATATTGGACATGGAGTGAAGGTAGGTGATATTGTTAAAACAGCCAAACTGCAAATACATTGTCTTTGTATATTTTCAAAATAACCTGATGCTTTTCATAGTAATATACCAGTTTCTTCTTCCCTGGCCAGTGTGTCTATAAACACAAGAGGAGTCCTGTCCAATTTGCAGTTGCCCCTTCCCATTCCCTTGTCCTGGTGTTTCTAAATCTTGCAAACTCACTGACTCTTATTTCTGAGGATGTTTGGGACTCACCTTTAAAATGCTTCTGAATACCTACTTGTGTGATGCTGCTGTTACTGTTTGAATCAGTTGCCAGGGCTATACGAGGGCACTGAAAGCGTGATGACCGTCACTTTTCTGCCTGAACTGGCACCACAAAGAACTGTCCAGCTGGAATTGCTGCTGGTTTACTTTGAAGCTCAACTGAAGAAAGGGTTTGCATAAGAAGTAATAGGTGCTCCCTTTTCTTCGTTGTGTCAGTTGGTTATACCCATATCCTGTGGTGCACTTTGTTAACGTGAGCTCTCAACAACTTTTGTGCCATGTGGGTTTCAGAATGGGAATGTTGGTGCCAACTTGGATGACAGCTGGTTCTCTCTTTTAAGATGAGGAAAAAAGGAGGAATTTCAGGGCAAAGATCAGACTGAGACACAACTGTTGCTGTATGCATGCGTTAGATCAGTGTACACAACAGCAGTAGTATCATGTGTGAGATCAGCTACGCATTTTACAAAGCACATCCTGAATGTAAATACAGTTTTAGCAGGTGTGAGCTCATTGTTAACTTGTGCTGCCAGGAAAACAAATGCGGAAATGAGACCACTGACAGTGTTAAAGTTCCAGGAGGAGAAAGGTAAATAACTCAAAGCAGTGTCGTTTTTACGTGACAAACTAACACATCTGTAAACCTGCTAAGTAGCAGTGAGGTAAGATGCTTCTTCCAGTCAGAGTACCCCAGCATTTCTTTTGCTTGACACCAAACTGCTTTAGGTTGTCTATGTTGTTCATTTTGGACAGCCATTTAAATGGCAAACAGGTTGTTCAACCAAACTCTTAAAATTCAAAATCTGAACAGTCCAATTTAAGTATCTTTCCCAAGCAGTTTATTCAAAGTCTTTTCAACATCCTGTTCGTTAACAAAGTATTTTTTCCCCATTTCTTACCAAAAAAGTCAACCTACCTTTGTAAGTCTAAACAGATTTAAAAAAAGACAAATGACTCTTTGAGCTTGATTTGGAAAACCAAACTAAAGAAAAAAGCTCTCAGCATTAATAATTACAGTTTTGACCAGGAAGTTATTTTCAGTCTTGTTTTAAAATTTGCCACCAATTCTTAGAAATTCTGAATTTACACAGGTCAGCAGAACTCCTTTTGGATATGGATGGAGCATATTAACCTGTAGGATTACTGTTGCTAATGTTTTAATGATCACTTTTGTTTTAAGGAGGTATTTTAGTACTCATTAAAGAATGGCTTTTAATTGCTCTGCAGCACAGTCTTAGTTAGCGCTGGCTCTAAACCATTACAGTTGGTATCCCACTTACCGCAGCGTAGCAGAATCTTACTCACTGTGATGCAATGAATTACGTTCTTCTGAAAGAGCATAGTTCATCAAATGGATGATGACTCAAATGTGTATGTGCATCCATTTTTTATGCCTCTGATGTGCTTGAGACATCTTACAGATGATGTTTACCATGTACTGTATTTATCTAGAAAATGAAAAAGTATTGTGTGCTTGCGGAACCTTGAAATCATGCTGTCTGTAGATGTGTTCCTGTTGGGTTCGTCCCGTCTGCAGCACAGAAGAAAGAACCATACTTCTGCTGATGGGCAGAAGAAAGTGTCCAGTTGTGCTTATATACCTGTTGGTTTTGTTCTGCCTGAGTAACTACAGATTAGTTTACTAGATCCCAGACTGAGAGGGAAAGAAGAAAAGAGAGAAAAAGGGTAGGAGCTTTAAATTTGCCTATTTATAGCTCCTTATTGCTTGAGTTATGGCATTTTTCCCTTCACATGACTATTCAGAAGCTGTTGCATTGAAGTTCCAGTCAGCGTCAGGACGCCTCAGTCTGTGTTCTTTGTCGTCTTTCTCCTTTTTCTGCTGTAGGCTGCCCCTTCAGTACTTGCACCCCGAGTTAGGCGTTGTCAGGACAGTCAGGGCTGAAGCAGCAGGCATTCGTTGCAGCCCCTGAGAAGGATGGCAGACTGGATAGAGAATAAAGGGAGCAGCCTTGGCTAAGAAACCCAGTATGCCATGTTGGGAGAAGCAGCATGAGCACTTGGGCACCTATTCCTTCCCTTCAGAAATTCCAAGCATCAGTGGATGCCACCTTCAGGAAAAGGTGGTCTACAATATGGTTTCTTAACACGCAAGGGAGAATTTCAGTGCCACGTATCATTGCAGCAGTCCCTCCTCATCTTCCCATACCCTGAAGCTATAATGCTGCAAAAATCTAAAGAACCTTTTGTCTGGAAAAGACTTGCTTTTACTTTTTTCAAATGTTTCCTGAGCTACAAAGCCTTCAATCTGTTCTTCCCTCCTAAGAGTCAAGAGGACGGGGGGAACCTTGTGTGATCTGTCCGAAGCAGAGTGTATTAAGGCACTGTAATTATCAGGCAGTGCTGCTGAGAAGGTCCCTGCTCGTGGACCCTCTAGTGTAACTGGCTGCTCTGGCCAGCACGGGACATCTCCTTTTCCAGTGTATGAACCAGAGGCTGTTCTGGGTAATAGAACTGTGGAACTTGAACCTCAAAGACATGAGGTTTTCTAGTAAATCAGGTTATGGTTCTGCTTAAATACATTGGGGTCTCTTTATGAGCGAAATGGATGAAACAGAGTAGTCACTCTGGGTGCTCCACTGTTGAGAATCTTCATATTTAATGTTTGATGTTAGAAAACGTGTAAGATGTAATGATACATTTGGATTAGCTGAACTGAAAACATCCCATGGTATTCAAATGGAAAGACTAGTATTTTTGAAAAAATTACTATGTGGAAAGAAAATACATGGTCTTGTGCCAGTAGGATGGAGGACACTGTCAAAAAGCTAGCACTTGGGCTTTAAAATAAGATTTTGCTGTTGGTCTTAATATATAGTTCAGCAAATCCTGCCACGTGGTGCAGTATCCGTAGAGGGCCGTGCTGCTTACAAGACGCAGCAATTTGCTCTAGAGCCTTGTTCAAGAGGGAATCCTACGGTGTCAGGGCAAGAGTTAACTAACAGCATTGTCTAGGGAAGGACACGTATCAGCTTAATATTCCAGGGGTTTCTCTTGTAAACATGCTGATGCACGTAACGGTTCAGATGAGCTCAGGGTATTGATAAGGCTGTTCTGTGACAGCTCAAATAAATGAATCTCTGAGATTAAGAACTTGGGTGAACAGTGTGCAGGCGCTTGGGCATCGGTTTTAAGGTGTTAATCTGAAGGCTTTGTGATCAATGTATATTAAAAGTTTCAGCTTGAAACTCTCTTGTTCATGACACATTCTGCTTTAACCACTCTTTCTATGATCTACTGATACATTATTTTGTTAATGCTGAATGCTTAACTTTTTCTTTCTTTTTCCTTTCTCTTCATATCCTGAAGTTCCAACTAACCTTTCAATGCTTTTTTTTCCTTACCTCTTTTATTTGCTCCATTTATGCATTAAGTGGTTGCTTAGATTTAAGGTAAGAAACCCCAGGGCTGGATTTCCATTTTTATTCTTCTGAGACTATTACACACGGGGAGATGATTACCATGAACATTACTGATCATTCAGAGCAACATCCACTCTCCCTCCTGTGCATCGCACCGTCGGTTGGAGGATTTCACTGCAGACAAACGCAGTGCTATAAACTGATGTATTTGTGTAAGGAAGCTAACACAGTTCATTTCAAAGTCTTTGTGGCAAAATACTGAGTGACTTCAGCATGTCTGCCAGATCGTTTACAAGGGAGGAATGCTGCGCCAACCTTGTGTGGAAAAAAACACGTAGTGAATTGACAGCAGCTGAATGTGAGCCTCCCCCTGTGTAATAGTCTTTTTATCCTATATACGGTGTAAATTATGATTTGATTGGGATTGACGTTTCCGTGTGAGATTGCTCAGATCATGGGCTCCAAAGGTGTGTAACAAATCCAAATCTGTGTTATTTTTTAAAGTTGCAGTATCCTTAGCTTTTTCAGAAACTGCCAGCACTCTTTAAATACTGAGAGGCACTTGTGAAAGTCTTCACAGATTTGCTAGTTGTGTAAAACATGTAACAACACTTAAACAACAAGCTAAGCGATCTGTTTGGTTGAATAATAAACAAACAGTGCATCAGAGAACTCAGCCTGAAGTACGCCAGATTCTCCAGAGTCTTAGGGGTCTAAATGTTAGTAGCCTTTGTGGCTGCAGAAGCAGCAGTAAAAAACACGAGATCGATTAGACAGGCGGTAAGAGAAGTTACAGGATAGCACGTTGGCGTTCATAGCACAGTAATTAATAGATAGGCTATAGCCCTTACTGCCTGTTGTGATCTCCTCCTCCTCCTCCTGAAGCCCAGCTGGGTTTGGGGGCTGGGAGAAGAGGGAATGAAAGGTGTTTAGTAGCAGCTGCCCCAGTGCTGAAGAGGGAACTGCATTTTAGAACTTCTCTACCAGCATACAGCATGCGTGTATTCATTAAACGAAGTTCCAAATTGATGTGAAATGTTTTTCATTACAAAGTATTTTCCATGACTGGAAAAAGCTAAAAGAAAAATCCTGAATTGCCTGTAAACCCAGGTATTACTGTAGGTGTCCCAATGATGTCCCCTTGGAATTGGCCAGATGGAACTTTTAGTGAGGTATTTAACTGTATGTAGCACATCTGATCCCAATGAAAAATGCTGAATAAATGAGAGATTTCTTGCATGTCACTTGAAATTTGTTTACGTGAGTGTGTGAGGTACGGTATTCCCAGTCACATAGTGCTTAAATGCTTTTTATTTGAGAGTTGCAGAAATACACCTCCTCCCTGGCTCTGGCTGTGCCCACCACATGGATACT